GATAGATAGATAGATAGATAGATAGATAGATAGATAGATAGATAGATAGATAGATAGATAGATAGATAGATAGTCTATTTTGTCTTGCATCTGAATATTTCCACCTGTCCTGATGCATCTCACTATTCCAGGTTAAAAAAAAAACAGTTGAGTAGGTCTTCTGCACGAATTCTTCTTTGCTGAAAAAAACTTTTCATCTCCTGTTTGTTGTTATTTATTTGTAATTATTATAAAAGTGTAATTTGAGGTTGACACTGCAATATTGTTGTAGTTTATACTACTACTAAAGTCCTACGGTACCAAATTCAAATGTTGCATATATGGATCACACGATGATTATTTAAAAAAAAAAACAAGTTTGCAGTTCTTTGTTCTATGTCTTTATTGTTGTGTGTGGATCCTAGTGATTACGGTCATCACAGCAAGGCACTACAAGGTCTTTTCAAGATGGCGGCGCAAATTTCTCATCTCAAACCCGGGGTCGCCTTTCCGGTTTGTAGCTCAGTGGGCGGGAGCTGAGTGACGCAACGCTTTTTACAACGAATCACGTGCCGAGGCGCGACCATTAGCGCAGACGGCCCAGGCTTGTTTGTATGAGAAAATAGCATGACTCTCTCAAGGTTTGCATCGTAGTTAAACGTATTAAAACCGGTCATTGTTTAGTTCAGTAACTCTGACGTGAAATGAAGAGACTAGTTGTTGGAATTGGTGGGTGAGTAAGTCTAGAGAACTATAAATATTAAATGCAATAAATATTTTAGCCGTGTGCATTTAGCTATCGGACATCACGCTGAAGTTAGCATCTGATTAGAAGGTTCGATGTTAGGCGGAACTCGTTGAGATGCATAGCTGTGGTGCGAATATCGCTGTAGGCCAATCGGAAGCGAACTTCATCATCAGATTAGATAAACATTTATTCTGGTTTCATTTTATGACACTATTTCTGTTGCTTTGGTTTGCAGCTGAGAAAAAGAAGGAAAGACAACAACAGATGTAAAAAAAATATTTAGCATTTCTTAATTTTAATAGTGTATAATTAGATGTTTTTGATCCAGATCCAGCAGGGACAACATGATGTTGCAGCTAAGACTGATAAGACTTGTTTACTCTTTGGAGCCCTGAGAGTAAAAGTCAAATTGTTATTTGATTGTTTTGTACTATCTGACATTTAACTGTGCTGACATGTTAGGCAAAATTATTTTAAAATATTCTTTAAAAACCCAAACAATTAAACCTCAACAAATAGTTGCATTTACATATTCATCGTGCAGTTTTATTATTTAATAATGTCTGATGGGTTTTGTTTCTGACAGAATAACAAATGGAGGGAAATCTACTCTTTCTCAAAGTCTTCATCAGCTGATACCCAACAGCTTCATCATTGCCCAGGACTCATATTTTAAGGTGGATTGGGAGGCCTTCTTCACATCAAATTGCTATTTAAAGATCACAGTAAATGTTTTACAAATGTTGATTTTTATATATTTTTTATTTCTATTTTTTAGGATGATTTTATTTTACCGGTAGACAGCAAAGGCTTCAAGCAGTACGATAGTGAGTATGTTTTATTTTGTGTTCAACTTGAAAGTTTTCACTGTTTAGGTTCATTTAAATTGATCTAGAAATTTATTTTTCTACTTGGTGACTCTGCTGAAAAAAATGTATCCATCCCAGGTTGTTATATAGAACTTTCTTCTGGTACATCAGACATTTTAAGTACCTGTACATAACATTTAGTTGTATATTTTTAATAGATTTAGGGGTTTTGTGTAAGTTTCTTCAAATCCAAACTTTGTCTTGTTCTGTTTTAGCTCTGGATGCTCTTCACATGGACAAGATGATGATGGATGTTGACTCGTGGCGGGCAGATCCAAACTTGTTCCTGAGGCAACGTGGCCGCAACATCACGCCTTCGTCCAACAATTCAGAAATATTTGTTCTGATTGTGGAAGGTTTTCTTATTTTCAACTACAGGTACGTGACAGGAAAAGTTAAAACTTATATTTCTACTCTCAAGACCTCCAAAAGAACGCGTGAATGGAATGAAATTAAAAATAAAAAATAAATTTCAGAAAGTGGCTTGTGCAAAAAATGTAACATCTTTATCATTAGAATCTAAAATAAAGGAATTTTCTCAAACATTTTAAAGCATTTTTTTTATTTTAAAGTTATCTACGTCAAAGATTGATGCTTTAGCATAAAAAATTGTTATATCTTTTAACTGTGTCGTACTTCGCTTTTTTAGGCCTYTAAACCAGCTGTTTGACAAAAGGTACCTTTTGGAAATACCTTATGAAGTGTGTAAGAGGAGACGAAGGTACTCRTTTACTTTTTAATTTTTGTATGTTTTTTTTTATATGAACATATCTTACTCTTGTTTCTGGGTATGACGTTAGAGGAAACGGTTCTGATTTGTKTTTGACAGTTCCAGGATTTACAATCCTCCTGACCCTCCAGGGTATTTTGATGGATACGTTTGGCCGATGTACCTGAAGAACCGTCAGGAGATGGAGAGGATCGCGTCAGAAATTGGTGATAGTTCAGTTAAAATGGTGTTTGTGGTGTGTGGTACTGTTACATAACGAGGTAAATTATTGCTTATTAGAAAGGTTTTGGTTTGAATAAAAAAAGCACACATTATTATTATTATTATTATTATTATTAGTAGTAGTAGTAGTAGTAGTAGTAGTAGTAGTAGTAGTAGTAGTAGTAGTAGTAGTAGTAGTATTGTAGTGACTGCTTAGTTAACAAGTAAGATATTGAAGCAGGTGCTGAATATGTAATCTGTTTTTCAGTCTTCCTGGATGGTCGGAGGCCAAAAGAGGAGCTGCTCGCTGATGTGTATGAAGATGTTTGTCAGGAAATAGACCGACTCCGGGTAGGGGTTACTACTTGATGACGTGTCTGGTATGTTTTCTGTAAACTATACTATTTTGAACACTTTAATACTTCACTGTTTGTTATGCAATGACAAATTCTAAAAATAAAAATAGTCAATGTTTAACCTATACACTAACCAGGACAAGACGTCATAAAGTTTAAGTAAGAACTTGTGTTTTGATCAGATAATTAGTCAAAAACCAAGCTAAATAACTTGCATCTAAAACCAAATTCAAAAATCTGTTAATTCCTRCTTTTTATTGAATCTTCTGCTTTGTTCAGACCCAGATAAATGATTGCATGAACCGTTCTGACATGTCTGCTCTTTATTTGTGCTTCATTTTCAGAGAAAAACTGAAATGATCTAGCTTTTGTTTTAACGTTTGTGGAGATTGCTGCCGCTCTTGATGATAGAAAACTATTGTTTTGGACCAACCTCTGACAGAAAGACCAAATAATGTTCAGTGTTTGCACTGGGGCAGGTTCCTGTGGGCTTTTGAGGTGCGGTCTCTGTCGCCCAGCATCTTCTGATCCTTCCTGTTGATGACGGATCAGTTTAGTTTTGCTTTTTTGAGCTGTTTGTTTTATTACCAGCAGAGGTCAGCAGGGAGGCCATCAGGTACATAAAAATCCCTTAAATGTCAACTTAGATTTGATTCTTACAGCATGAACAGTGATATTCTGTGACTTGTCATATTTATAATCATGTCAGTGACAGTGTCATTAAAAACTGTGAATAGAAACAAATTTACTTTATCTGAACTTGTCCATCTTTGCTTTTATTTTCATTTAAATGTTTATTTTTATTGGATGTATAATTGTAATAAAATGTATTGTGTTRTAAAAAGAGACACCTGTGAATGTGACCCATTTTTTAATGTGATTGCTATTATAGATGACTAAAACTGTTTGTATAAGCTCTGTTTTGTTGTGACATACATTAAAGTTGCTGCAGGTCTGCAACTGTAACACAAGTCTGAATCTTAATTGTATCAAATCCAAGTTTCTTTTGTCTTCCAGAACATAAAGTGTAATAATCTGTTTAGTTTTGATTTTATTAATAAATTATCAAAACATATTTAGAACTCTGAACTCTTTCAATAGATTTTTTYCCCTACTTCTCGTGATTTCAGGACAAAAAAACATGAAATAAGAAGACAGACAAAATAAAATGCACAATGAAACATTGCTTAAGACTTGTTGAGGCACTGATTGATAAATGCTGACTTTAGACTTTTTACATCCGTAAAAAGTGTCAGTTTAAAGGCAAAAACTTTATATACAGGCACATACAGTATATGTGCACACATTAATATTTTGTTACTAAACTCAATTTCTGGAAAGATCATAAGATGAGATCAAACRTTTAAAAAGTTAAAAACAGTTCCTAAATTTCTGGGTTGTCCAATAGAATAGAAACAGCCTTTATTGTCCCTCGGTGGGGAAATTCAGGTGTAACAGCAGCAGATAAATACATCAATCCACAAAACAATATACTACTATGTGACATTATCAACTGTAATAATAATAATTGAAAATATAATAAAATAAAATTTACTGTACAAGACTAAAAAGATGAAATAAGATAAAAATAAAAGCAATATACTGTGCAGAGAAAGAAAAAATACAAGAAAAAACAGTCATGACAGACTTGTGAACAAAATAACAAAAATGTGCCTGATATTTCACATTTACAAAGAAATACATTCCAACGGGAATTCTGGRAAGTAACAGGTTAAAGTCTTAACCTTTCAAATTAGTTTCATGTTTTTTGTTTTTTTTTCCTAATTTTACATTTTGTGAATTAGACTAACATCTACAGTTTTTTGGGGAGTTGATATAAAACCACTTAAATGACAGATTTTTGGCAGTTCAGAGGTGAAATTCAGTGTGGATGAAAACTTGAAGTCAGCAGAAGGTACTGCAGAAATCTGATGAATTTATTMATTTTATCCAACTAATCTTTACAGAAGAGTTTTTTTTCTCAAGCTCTGACTATTTTCTCACAATTCTGATTTTCCTAATTCTGAGCAGAAAAAAAGTCAGAATTCTTTTTTTTCCAGCCTAATCTTCTTTTGTAAATGTTGCATCGAAAAGAAAACATATCTTCAAAAAATGCTTTATGTAGCTTTGTGTTTAATGGATGAAATTGATCAATGCTGTTTAAGAAATCCCATCCTTACGTTGTGCACTCTGAACGTTATTTCAGAACATGCTGCTTTCTTTTGCAGTGCGAGAGGGACTTATTTCTGGAAATGCATGTGGTTTCCATCGACACACCAGACTTTAACCCTCCTTGGGTCAAACTGATCTCTGAGGCCTCCGTTTTAAACACARGGGGTCACAAGGAGGGTTAAAGCGTGTTTTTGCAGCTGTGTTGGGAATAAAAGAGTTTTCTCACAGCAACCAGGTGAAACAGGAGTCTGTGCACGCCTCGGCTGCAAGCTTCCTCCGTCTCCAGAACCACAGCTTTCATTTTCACACAGGGAAGTGTCAGACAACTGCTATGAGTCTCAGTGAGTTGTGTGAACCTGCAGCCGCCTTCTTGTAAAAAAAAAAAAACTGAAAACAAATTCTTCATAAAAGCCTTTATTGCAAAACTCCTCTCAGACACACACCGTTGCATCATTTCCCCTCCACACACTGAGAAATGCTTAAAGTTTTGTCGGAAAGTCCACGCTATCAGCAGAATTTTTTTTTTTTGTGTGAACCTCAGCAGATAACTTGTCTAACCGGCGTGTACAGGGAAACAAATGTCACATGCAAATTTGGACATTCCTTACTTCCCTGTATCGACTATATCCTCTTCTAACAATGTATTTAAGCCAGCAGTGCAGTCTTAAAGAACTTATTTGCTGAAGTGTGATTTGTCCAGGATGGGATTTTCAACACGTCTGTGTTTGGTTTTTGCCTACAGCATCTGCTGCTACAAAGCCATGCYGACTAAGCTCAACCAGGAGGCTGTGAATGACAGGCCTGTGATTGGTAAGTAATACTTTTAGAGTTTTTTTTTTTTTTTTTTTGATGAAACACTGAGTTTGTCATTGACCTGTCTGCTCAAGCACACAGCTCACTCAAAAACGAGTGAAAAAATCAGAAAACAAAATTTATTTAAAGACATTTAGGCAGTCTGGAGAAATGCTGATCAAGATGACTTTAAAATATTAAAAAGATTCTGTTTCCTCAGAAATGAGACAAAATGCTGTGTCATTGTTGACTTCTTTCCCRTGCTAACTTTTTTGTCCCCCAGGTGTTTTAACTCAGTTGGTTTCTGATGAAGTCATGAGGCCGTTTGGGAGGACCTACATACCCGACTCCTACGTGAACTACATAGAGTCCGGGGGGAGCAGGGTGATGCCGATCAGGTGGGCCGAGGGCTCTGATTTCTTTAAAAATACTGCCGACACGGCGACATAATCCCACCATAACTTTGTAAAACTCTGAGACAAAATACGTTTTAACATTTAGTTTAAGAAAGTCTCATCGTGGTCTCCACGGTTACCACAAACCTGTGTCTGTCACTCCCTGACTGCCAAGTTAATTAGAGGCAGACTGAAAACTGGACTCAGTCATTGTGCAAAAATCTTAAGTCAGATCTAAAGTCTAAAAATGATGCGTCGTTGAAGGTTTTCAAAAGTGCTATATAAGACTAATGCTTTACTATTATTA